GAGGGCATTGTTTGTATTCATTGCTCATGGCTGTGACTTGATGCCAGCTAATTCACCAATACCTTCAGAAGTGGCTGGGGAGTCTAAATGTACGGTCTGAACTGTCTGACAAACAACCATTGTCTCAGTTCCTCCACCGATGGAAAAAATTATGGTTTTTCATTAAGCATACACCTAGCTAAACTTAGTGAACTATTGCTTTGCAGAGAAGCCTGGACCCTATTTTACTTAATTTGCTTTGTATTAAAATTGTTCAATTAAATCTGGGAAGAAAAATAAGGTGTTCCTGTAATGTTTATATGAAAGCCATTTTTCTAAATGAGTTCCTGTATGAATATACATAGCATTTTATCAAAAGTAATAGTCTTGGCCTGAAAAAAAATCATAGCACTATATATTAATTATCCAAAGCAGTGGCTTTATTTATGACCTCTTTGACACAGCCTTCACCTCAGTAGTCTCAACCCCAGAAGCTGTGAAGAAAATAAAAAAGGAACTGAATGTAGGTTCTCAACTGGAACGATGGTTAATTACTTCTGTTCTGCACTATTTGTGCTGTATGGTCAGTAACATGCTAATGAGTTTCAATTAAGTTACCTCTGCAAAACTAAGTTACCTTTGCAAAATTCTGCCAAGAAACAGAAATTGTGTCATATAAGGTGGGATGTTGGATGAATATTGTCTTGCTATCAGTGACCATATATGCTTGACCCCTGACTTTTCCATTATGTGTGATTCAGAATCACTGATGTGTGTTATGGGGTTAAGGTCATGATTACAAGTGGCTGAGAAGAAAGTAAAAGAATTAATAGGGGAAACAACTGTAACTCTAATACGTTATGGGAAACCTGAAAGATGTTCTGTGGACTGTTGCACCCTAAGCCTTGTCAGCAGAATGCTGAGGTGGGAAGGTGACTGGCCTGAAAGAAGGCGCTGGAATTAGAACATTTGTCAGTGTGTTCTTCATGGAACACTAATCCCTTAAAAAATGAGAGGAAAATAATTTTCCCATGGCCAAAGAATTTGGGAAACATTATATACTCTATCTTCCCATGCCACCTTGGAGATTTATACAATTAAAGATTCTGAAATTCCCGCAATTAAAGAAAGACCAAAAAGTAATTAAATTTATTAACCAATACCTCCTGATATTTTCCTGAACTAAACCGTTATTTTGAGAACCATCTGTGGAAATGATGTCCTGGTGTCTGGGAACATGAGTTTGGGGAGTGTTTCCTGCACTTCCAGAACTGATAAGAAAGAGTAGCTCACTGTGCCTGAACTATTTATACAAACCATGTGGTTTAGGAGGAACACCTGCTTTCCTTCTGAGAGTGTGGGATTTAGGGATGTGCTAGGCAGAGGGTACCAATGTTACCAGCCCCCTATAAAAACCTTGGACATTAAGTATCTAAAGAATCTCTCTGGTTGGTAACATTTCACACGTGCTGTGACAATGCGTTGCTGGTGGAAATTAGGTGCATCTGTGGGATTCACTGGGCGAGGAAGCTTGTGCCTGGTATTCCCTTTGTTGAGTGTGATATTCGCATCATTTCACACTAACACTGCTGAGCTGTGTGAGTCCGCCTAGCAAATTATTGAACCCGAGGGTGATCTTGGGCACCCCCAAACACATGTGGTGAGCAAGGAAGACACATCTCTGCCCTCACAGGAGTTACCATCTAATGGTAGGTGATAAACCAGTACTTATAAAAATGATCATTTATAAACCTACGATTAAGATAAATAATTTTTATAAAAAGGAAAAGTGCAAGTTTCTGTGAGACAAGTAACAGCAAACTGAATGTGGATTGGGAATATCAGAAAAGGCTGTGCTGAGGAAGTGAGAATTAAGATGAGTCCTGAAGGATGGACAGGAGTTACTCAAGATGAAAGGAAGGGGATGAACAATTTGGACAGAGGTAACAATGACTGCAAAGACTCTAAGACTTGCTATAGCAAGACCCTGGTCTTGCTATTGCATTGTGCGTATATCAGAAGGAAGTCCAGTCATGCTGAGGATATTTATAGGTTGAGACTGACCCCAGAGTCAAAAGATCTGGCTTCTTTTATACGTGCCTTATTGGCGAGCAATTGCACTCCTAGGAATATACTCAACAGAAGCAGTGCACATATATACACCAAAGTAGATGTCCAATGATGTTTATAGCAGACAAAAACCATAAATGACACAAATGTTTTCTATAGAAGTATGGATAAACAAATTACAGTGTATTTATATAATGGAATATTATACAGCCATAAATTTGAAGAAACTATTGATACATGCAGCAAGATGGATGAATCTCAAAAAACAGAATGATGATCAAAAGAAACCAGACATAAAAAAGAACATTTATATTGATTTATATCAAAATTTAAAACTATAAAACAAATCAATGGTGATAGAAGTGACGATATTGTTTACCTTGAAGTGTAGTGACTGGGAGTAGCATAAGTAGCACTGGGTGCTACTAATATTCTATTTGTTGATCTGGGTAGTGAATATATGAATGTGTTCAGTTTATGAAAACCTACTGTACTGTACACTTAAAGTCTGCATACTTTTCTACAGATACGTTTTAGCTCAAAAAAAGTTTACAACAAAAAATCTGAGTTCTTGCCTTGTTATTAACAAGCCCTTTTACTTTGGACAAATCACAGACTCATCAAGCCTCAAATTTTTCATCTCTAAAATGAATGAAGGGCTTCCCTGATGGCACAGTGGTTAAGAATCTGCCTGCCGATGCAGGGGACGCGGGTTCGAGCCCTGGTCCGGGAAGATCCCACATGCCGCGGAGCAACTAAGCCCGCACGCCACAACTACTGAACCTGTGTGCCACAACTACTGAAGCCCGCATGCCTAGAGTCCATGCTCCACAACAAGAGAAGCCACCACAGTGAGAAGCCCGCGCACCGCAACGAAGAGTAGCCCCCGCTCGCAGCAACTAGAGAAAGTCCGCGCGCGGCAACGATGACCCAATGCAGCCAAAATTAAATAAAATAAAAATAAACTTATTAAAAAAAAAGAATCAAAACACCTGCCTTTTCTTCAGTTTTTAATAGAAATCAAATGTCTTCATGAATGATATTATAATCTGATTGGTAGATGGTATATCAACTTGTGATGTCATTTAAAATATTCATACTCATCTCCGTTGACTCTCAATTATTCATTCAGTGCCTAGTTATCTAATCTGTGAGTTTCCTGGACTTCAGCTCTTCTCTTCTATACTATTTACCCATAGCAGAACATGCAGAAATAAAAGAAAAAGCAACGAATTGTTTGTTTTCAATGGGCACGTATGCCTTAAAAGTTTATGTTGTAGTATAGTTTTTAGATTGTCAAAGTATTGCCATTGTGTATGCTAACTTGAATCTCTAAAAATTTATTTTGATTACTAAAAACAATTGCTACAATTTATTGACTGTTTATATCACAGATGGGCATCACATATATGGTAATATATGTATATATACATACATATCTGTGCATTATACGTATATACATATATATAATCATCTTATTGAATCCTCACCTCAAACCCATGAAGTAAGTTTTGTAAAAAAACATTTTGCAGGGCTTCCCTGGTGGCGCAGTGGTTGAGAGTCCGCCTGCCAATGCAGGGGACACGGGTTCGTGCCCCAGTCCGGGAAGATCCCACGTGCCGCGGAGCGGCTGGGCCCGTGAGCCATGGCCACTGAGCCTGCGCGTCCGGAGCCTGTGCTCCGCAACGGGAGAGGCCACAACAGTGAGAGGCCCGCGTCCCGCAAAGAAGAAAACAAAAACAAAAAAACATTTTGCAGATAAGAAAACTGAGGTTCAGTGAGGTTACAGTACTTGTGTAAGGTTATGTAAGATGTGGCTGAATTAGATTTGGTACCTGGGACTTTTTGCCTCCACAGTCCCTGCTTTTCATCCACACTATACCCTCCTGTTGGGGGTGCCTCTGGAGCACAGGTTTCATTCATGCTTCCTATATGGATCAGCTGTGGCACGGACATTGACCACCGGCAGCAACTCTTTTATTTAGCAAACACCAGTGCCAAACAGTCTGTCTTTTGCACATGACAAAGTCTACATTATAAAAAGAATATATGTAATCTATTTATTTGGTAATTCACTGCATCTCACTATTTGCCCCATACAAAATGCCTGATAGGAAACTAACTTTTGTGATGAAATCACAGCTTCAAAGCAAAGATTTGCAGCATTAGAAAGACATGTACAGGGCTCCCCTGATGGTGCAGTCGTTAAGAATCCGCCTGCTAACGGAGGGGACGTGGGTTCGAGCCCTGGTCTGTGAAGATCCCACATGCTTCGGAGCAACTAAGCCCATGCGCCACAACTACTGAGCCTGTGCTCTAGAGCCCACGAGCCACAACTACTGAGCCCATGTGCCTAGAGCCTGTGCTCTGCAACAAGAGAAGCCACCGCAATGAGAAGCCTGCTTGCTGCAACTAGAGAAAGCCCGCGCGCAGCAGCAAAGACCCAACGCAGCCACCCCCCTCAAAAAAAAAAGAAAGACGTGTAAAAGATCTCTTGTGATTTGATCTTTTTTACAGAATTTTGTCTTCCAGGAACCTCTCAACCCTTCATTTTAGAACAGATCTCAGTCTCCCACCCCAGATCCTCAATCTTTGTCCAGGATTACAAGAGACTTTTGTCTAAAACGTGCCTGCATGCAAGTATAGTTGAAAAGGTAGAGGAACAGAGGTGATGGGGGGTTGAGGCAGAGGTTGAAACCTCAGGAAGCCTTAGAAAGGACAGAAGATGTTACAGGACAGTTTACAGTGGGTAGACCAAGGAATCACAGTGCTTGGATTTTGATAATAAAACAAAGATGAGACCTTTTCAGGCCTGCATAAGAGAAGGAGGGCATTGGTTACTGAGATCTGCACACAGGGTAATTAAGAAAGAGGAGATATAATCAGCTTCCTGCTTCTGTATTCAGGGCCCAGCCAGCATCAGCAAAGCCTTGCACTCATCCATTTTATGTAAGAGGGTTGACGCAAAAGACCATAACAAGCGTGGTAGCTGCCCTCAGAGGGGTTCTAACTTAACACCTCGAGCCTTCACAGAGATGTAAGCTTGCATAGAAAGGCAACAAAGGTGAGGGCAGGCAGGGTGGGGTGGGAATGAGGGCTGAGGGGTGGAGCCCAGGTGAAGGAAATGGGAGCAATCGCTGCATAGGAGAATGCTCTCCATCAGTAGGCTGGTCACAACTTGTCTAGGAACAAACTTAAGAAACTTTGTGTATCTAACTTTGTGTCTCTTTTCCTCTCCATTCTGCTATCACTTCCCTGGAGCCTTTTGTCTCATCTGTAAAAGAAAGGCACAGAAATGGATCATCTCCGAGGTCCTTGCCAGCTCTGACAGCCTATGACTAATCCTTCCGTGTGAATGCAGTGCTTTACAGTGGATGTAATACCACATTGCCTTTGGGGAGAAAACTAGGCTGAGTGTAGAATTATGAATTTGACCTTTGAAATTTAAACTGTTTTGATTGTATTTTTACTGTTTTCCTAAGGGAGCCATTCACGTTGCTTTTGTACTTGAAAACTAAACATAGTTCTTAAAGGGAATTGGTGAAAATGACGATTATCCATCATTCAACACTGGGGTCTGTCTCAAGGACTGGTTAGAGGGCATGTGGCTATTTGAGGTGGAGGAAATGAAGCAGGAGAGGAAGTTTATTATGCCAAATACAGTGCCCACTAGAAAGCCTAGGAAACCCAGCCTCCTGAGCTCAATGGGATTTTGAAACACTTGCTGTTTGAAATAATTCACTCTTGCCTAAAGGTATAAAAGAATATTTTTCCAATTTTCCTCTTGAAATATCACCAGCTGTCCCAGACATTTAAAAAAATAGTAGTATTTGGATGTATTGTATTTTAAAAAGAGTCAGCAAGATTCAGCTTACCTTTGCCTTAAGGCTTTGTGACTTTACATTTGCAGTCAATTTGAAAAATAGTGTGAGATGTCTGTTAAACTTTGAACACAGTGAGACTTACACATCTGCCTTTTTGAGACTACAAAATAATCCTGTATCTTTTGGTAAAGAGCCAATAAATTGACCCTTAGGAAAGAGGCAAACCATATCCATGTATCTAAATGCCTCTAGCAAGAGAGCCTGCTCTTTTTTGGACACGTAAATTGAACACAGCAACAGCTCCAAAATCCGTCTTTCGGATGAACATAAGAGAATTCTTAGTTCAGAATGGCCTAGAGGAAACCCCTGAGTACTATATGAATTATGTGGGATCTACTTAGAAAATGGCTATTTCAATATTCTACTTAATAGGTGACATTTGCATCAAGAACTCTGAGGATTACAGATATGGACAGAGTTGTTTTATTTATTACATCACCTTATGTTCCCAGGGGTGCCCCACATGTTTCTGAGATAGAGTTCCCCTGTTAAGTTGTGTCATAATGGAAGTAGATCTATTTCTTTTTGTTTTTAAATGACTTTATGTGAACGTTAATTAAGGCCACTTTGTGCTATGTCCTATTGTCTTAGGTCAAGTTCCTGGGAAACAGATTCTGGGACAGATATTTGTGAGCAGGAAGTTTATTGGAGGGGGTGGGTACTCTCAGGAACAATATCTCTGATGGGTGAAGGAAACAAGATTAAGCAGAGGGAGAAATTGAATTGTGTGGATATGGCTCCTATGGCCAAACAGTCACTGCTATACTCTCTGTAATGGTTAATTTTATGTACCAATTTTGCTGGGCCAAAGGAGGTCCAGATAGTTGGTCAAGCATTGCTTTGGGTGTTTCTGTATTCCATAAGGAGGGTGTTTTTGGATGATATTAACATTTTGAATTGACAGACTGAGTAAGGCAGATTGCTCTCCCTAATGTGGGTGGGCCTCATCCAACTGGTTGAAGGCCTGAATAGAACAAAGGAATGACCTTCCCCTAAGTCTCTTGCCTGGTAATCTTCAAACTGAAATACTGATTCTTCTTGCTTGAAGTTGTTCAAACTGGGATATCAAGCTCTTCCTGGTTCTACGGAAGCTTGGGGGATTGGCTGTGAAGATTTTGGACTTGCCAGCCTCCATTTCCATAGCTGTGTGAGCCAATTCCTTATAATAAACCTCTCTCTCTCTCTCTCTGGCATTTTCAGCAGGAAAAGTACTCCACGTAATTCTTCTAGAGATGCTTGGGGACGACACTTTGAGAAACGTGAATCTACTGGACCCATCTGAGGAAATACTGACCAACAGCAGAGCCATTCCTTGTGGCATTCTGGCCACTGGGAAGATCACAGTGATAACTCTTGGTGAGATGCATTCTGCGGTGAATTTTAGTATTCTCATGCTTTTTAGGCAGTAGGGAGTTTTCTCATCCAACTGAAAATAACTAAAATGTAGATCCGATTGAGTTTTCTTCTTCTCCGTTCACTGAGTGAAAGACAGACATCAGAAGCATAGAGAATTGGTAGCGGAGATTTGCAATGATCAAAATAATGCTTGGATGGCTTGACTTGAACTCTGGCTTCTCAGACATGCTGACAACTCTGAAGGCATTGTGCCGCTCCATAGCTTGGACTGACAAGCAACTAACCGTGAAATAGAAAGAGAATTTCAAAACAATTTCTTAAGAAGTGAAATGTGAACAATAAACTTACTGATTCCATTTAGTCACTTTTTATTGACAGAATGCTCCCGTTTTGAATATCTGAATGAAATATTCATTAATAGATTATTTAAGGTACTATATACTGCCTTTATTTTTTAGAGGTTTTTTTTTTCTTTTAACTAAACAAACTCCCCTTCTTCTCTGTCTCCCTTCAAATGGTATTTTTCCTAAAACATCTACAAATGAGCATCACAAAATTTAGCACTTGACCATGTATTCCTTTGCCCTGTATATATAAAATAAGAAAATGCATTGAAAGCACTTTGAAAATATAAAGCACTATGTTCCTATAAAATTACCATGATAATATTAGGAGGGCTGTATGAGTTCCCCTACTGTAGTACAGGTTGCTGGAAAATAAGGATTTGTCTTCTACTCTCTTTGTAGCCCTCATGGCTCCCGGCACAGGCTGAGGCAAATAGGAGACACCTGCTGACTTGACAATATTTTATTACCATTTGTAAGCCTTCACTTATTCTCTGCAGTCCCTCTCATTAAAATCTTATAAAATCAATTCCTAAAACCGTCACCTATAGTTTAAACACATTTGATACTGACTGTAAGAAAATTTGGTGCTCCTACATTAGAAACATGTGGCATCTGGCCTCTCTTCCATTTTTTCCCCGTGACAAAAATTGCATTTGACCTTGGGAACTCTTTTCTGAGAAGCCTGAATGTGACTCCAAAACCCTTCTTAACACCTACTCCAGGATTCTGGGCCAGTCAGTCAGGGTTCCCTATCAATCAAGACTCAGGGTAACATCTTTACCATCCTTTTCCTAGATATTAACTCCAAGTTATAAGTCCGTCTGGACTTGTGGAAAAGGAACTAGTCAGGACATCATAAATTTGGGGCTTCCAGGGCTCACATTGCCATCAACAAGCTGTCTGACCCTAGGCAAGTAATTAAATATATCGGAACCTTCATTTTCTCATCTGCAGTGTAAGTTATTTAAACCTACTGCCAGTTGTGAGATTTTGTGATGCAGTGGATGGAGGCCAGGCAATCACAGTTTGGTCAGGCTCTCAGCAATCATAAAAATCCAATAAAATATGCTTTTTTCCCATTCAGAAAAAGAACACTTATGTTTGACGTAGCTGCTAGACATTTCCATGAGGCTGTGTTTGCAAATTCTTGATGATTCTTTAATTTTTATAGTTTCTCTGTGAGGATAGCAGTCACACTGGTTGTAACTGAGGTAACTAAGCCTTGGCTGCACGAAGTATTTGGACAGGCCTGTGACATAACTCTGTTACCACAACCATTTTCCAGGTCCCACTAGGACGGCACTTTGAGACAATAAATGTACCTATTCCTTAACGCTTCTACAAAAGCCATGCTCTGACTCTAAAGCAAAAACTTTATACCACATTTCATTTTGAGAGGCTTTGGACAATGATGTTATATGTCTGAATCAGAAGGTTCCTAATAACAATCCAATCAGCCAAGGATGCCGCAGTTGACAAAACTCTCAGAAAGTTAGCTGCCCTGCTTTGTCCTGCTCTAGCCTTGAGCTCCAGGAGGAGAACAACTTTTACATTATGTCTGAAGCCCAAAAGCCACCTGTGCCTATTGGTGGCTTGATCACCAGCTCAAACAGACCTACTAGTAACTATGAGGTGAGGATTGTATGCAGAAGGGGATATGATACCACCGTGTAAACTGTGGAGCAAAAGCATGGTATTCTCTGTGAGAAAAAGAGAAACACGGCATAAACATGGCTGAAATTTGTTTATGTTATGAAGGCACATCCTGAGTGGTCAAATAGAAAGAAATGATAATATCCAGAGTTGTTTCACAACTTCTTGACTAAAGTGCAGTGGATATCAGAGTGTTTGTCATCCACGATTAGTGCTCCCAGAGGCCCTCAGAAAGCCACGCTCATCTGAAGGAGACTCATTGAGTGCTCTCTTTCTGTTGCTGTTTCTCTTCTTCTCTCCATCCTCTCTCTCTCCACTTCTTTCTGTCTCCATCTCTGTCTCTCTCTCTCTGACACACACACACACACACACACACACACACACCACACATACATAAGCATACACACATTTCTTTATAACAACCTAACGATTTTGATCACAGTCTTATCTCTGAGGACTTTAGACAGAGTCCAGTTGTTTTCTATAGCTTTCCAAACTGTTTCTTTTACAGGGATATTTACAATCCTAGAACAAACAGAAAATCTATGACTCATTGTGAGGTTGACAAACACACTCATTGCGACAATGCTCTGTTTTCCTGCGTGCGAGTTTTACTAAGTCATACTTGCAACCTTGTTGTTTGTGGACAGAGAGCCAATTTATTTTGACTTTTACTGGATATTCATGTAATCGTATATTAACTAGGTGTGAACTGTATACAAATCTTATCAAGTAACTCAGAGGCCTTAAAAGATACCTGGGATTCATGTGGCATCTGAGAATTCCAAAGTGTCCTCCCATGTGTGACAGTGCTAAGGAAGATTCATCTTGCAGAATTCTAACACTATAAGAAACTTAGAGGGAAATATAAGGACAGGCAGGAAACTTATTAAATCTTTTTATCACCATACTTCATTCTCTCTGAATTTGAACAAAGGATCTAAGTTGAAGGAAGCAACTAATGCTGTGTTGACAAGTGGATGAATAATGGCTATCTTTTTGTTCCCTAAAATTGTTTTGAACTACATGTGCTATATTTTACATTTTCTGAGGAAAATAGGTTTTTAAGTTCCTAGGCTGTATGATATAGAAATTAAACTACCTGGACTTTTCAAAAAATAAATCACATAAAGTATGATTTCATGGATGAAGGAGTTAAGCGTCCAAGAGAAGCTGCCCTCTGACCTCATTTGTTAATGAATGTGGTCTGTCATGGTGATGGGAGGTGGTCATAATCAGTACAAAGTAGTCAATCTATAAATACCTGTGGAAGTTTTCTTCTTCAGTTCAAGATAGACTGAGCTACAGTCTTCTCCTGTGAAATCCATAACATACACATCTGAAAAATCACTAGTACCTGGAATAATGCCTAGGACATGGTAAGCTCTTGATCAATATTTATTCTTTAATGAAAATTAACCATTTTCAGATGGAAAGCAATAGATCCTCTACATTATGCTGAAAATTTCTGCATTGTCCTGAAAGCCAAAGAGGACACAGCTAGGAGAGGCATTCAAATCACCATTCACAAACATAAAGGGCACCAGAGGGGTCTGGAGACCTCCTGCTGTGCCAGGCTGACCTTTTCAAGGCTGGAAATGAAGGAGGTCTTGGGAGGTCTGGGGTTGACACCTGGCAGTGTGTGTTACTCCAAGTTCTGCGCAGCACTTCTTTACAAACCATTATAGAAGAATATCGTGTTTCAACAATGAGTAAGGCCATGTATACTGCTTCCAATCTGTCCTGGGTCCAACAGAAGAGAGGAGGGGTCATAGCAGCAGTAACAACATTCCTCATCCCCTTAGGGAATAAAACAAAGGGTAGAAAATGTGCAGGGCTGAAGCCCCTCATTCCCAGCCTCAGCATCCCGTTTTCTTTCTCCCGCCTCTAAAGAGAAGAGGCCCTGGAAGGGGTTCCTGGCTTGGTAGGATTATGATAGGGGCCGACCTTGGAGCTGCTCTCTGAGGGACGTGCTGACGCTTTGTTTGCAAGCGCTCCGTAACAGCAGCCAATGCTGATGAGAATACATGATCACCGCACCAAACAGAAGTTCAGGTGTCTGAGCAGTTAGACTAATTCAGTCACAACTGCTGCCACATTTGATTTGGAAAAAGAGCCAAGAAAATTATCAGCAAGCTAGAACCTGAATGTAAATGTTGATCTAGTTTACTCATTTATACTAGGATCATCGTGCAGCTGAAGAACATTGCTCCATCATGACTAAGCCACGTGGTTAAAAACATCTAACATAGATTTTCCAGTTAACAAACAGATGTTATCCTTACAACACAGCAAGTTCAATATTATTTTACATTTAACTTATTGGGACACTAATGCTCAGCTAAGCCTTGTGATCACACAGTTACCCAAGGCTTCCAGTCATTCTAACATCCTTTTTGCTATATACTAAAGCCATCTTTTCAGAAATCACCTTCAACCTTTCTTCTCCCTTGGTCTGATGGCCTGTCATTTTCCAAAATAAAAATAGTAACAGTACCTTACTATTTGTAATTCTTGAAGATCTCTTATAAGAATATTAAATCTAAACTACTTATAATCTGAGGGAAATATGGTTATCTTTGGGCCGGAGAATTTTTATAGGAAAGATATCCACAATCATGTTTGGAGGGCAAGGTAGATATATAAAAAATAATTTACTTGTTTTTCTCCATCATATGAAGAAATGTTAACTGAAGTCCTTGGCAATTCTTTTCCTACTGTCAGTGAACGTGCAGATACATATGATAAGGAATTAAGAAGTTCAAACAGCATTATCTAAGTTTTTACAGCATGAGATGAGTTACTATGAATGAAGATGAACTCACTATTTTCTCTTTGGGAAGAGTGGAACTTGTTTGTTACACCGAAAAAGTTCGTAGGAAAATGGGGAACACGGCTGCAGGGATTAATGCTGTCAATCATGGGTTGGGTCTCTGTCCTTCCCACTAACTTCCTCTCTGCAGTTGCCACTTGAAGCTAGCTCTGTTCTGAACTGGGCCAGAGGTCAACTGTGTGGTTGCAACCAAGTCACCCTGCTTTGGAAACCAGTCTCAGAAGTGGTTGCATCCCTTGTCTCACAGTGGTTCTCAGTCCCATGTCTTTGACCAATACTAAGTCTTATCCCTGCATGGCCTGTTTGCTGGACTCTGAGCTTCATACATAACAATTTGTGGTGCCCTCTGGCCCTGCCACAAAGCTGCCTTGTGTGCCTGGATATCAGTTGGAATTGGAAAACCAGACAAGACACAATGAAGAGTCCATCTCTAGCATACGAGTTCTCAGAGGCATAAAAGGGCACTTTCATGTGTATTTTCTTGCCATAGGATTTCTGGTTGTCACCTCAATTTACTAATTTTTTTTTTTTTCTGTACACAGGATAAGGGGATGCCTTTCTCCTTGGCAAAGTCTATAATACTGAAAAGTTGTCATAGAGTACAGATCCATCTGACAGTGTGTCAATGATGATTATTAAAGCACCCAGTTGTCTTATGGGAGGGACTATGTGGTTGGGAATAAGAACACTTGATTCCTTGAACACAGCAGTCATTGTGAGCAGATTACCTCCAACTCTACAAATAGACGCAAAGAGCAACAAAGTTTTCCTAACATGTAAAACTCAGATCTCTTGATTCTTCCTCCTGATTTTTTATTCAGTTCCAAAGTGATTTTGATTACTTCAGAGCACTGACCAAGATAGATAGCCAAACACTTAGAAAAAAATCACAAATGACAGGTTATGAAAAATATTGTAAGACATTTTTGAGATATGTAGCAAAAGAAAAATTCTAGTAAAAGCCCCTGAAATATCCGAGCACAGTAATTATGTGCAAAATGAATGGGGCAAAAGCAAGAAACTCTGTGTCATAGTCTCTGACTAAACAATGGATGACCAGTTACCCACTTGTGGTGGGTTAAAAAATGGCCCCCCAAAGAGATACACATCCTAAAACCTGGAATCTGTGAATGTTATCTTTTTGGAAAAAAAAGACCTTAAAGATGTGGTTAAGAACCTTGAAATGGGGGAATTATCCTGCATTAGCCAGGTGGGCCCTAAATGCAATCACATGTGTTCTTATGAGAGGGAAGCAGATATCAGAGATGAGGAGATGAAGACAATACCACAGGGGACGAGATTAGAGTGATGTGGCCACAAGGCAAGGAATGCCAGTAGTCATCAAAAGCTGGAAGAGACAAGGACCAGATTCTCCCCTAGAGCCTCTATGAGAGGCTCCCAATATCTTGACGTCAGCCCAGCAATACTGATTTCAAATTTCTGTTCTCTGGAACTGTGAGAGAATGAATTTCTGTTGTTATAAGCCATCAGGTTGGTGGTAATTTGTTATAGTAACCATAGGAAACTAATACTTCGTCCATGAATCAGACAAAAGATGTTTTAACGAAACATGCCCTATAGGCATTTATTTCAGGTTGGTGACACCCTTCAAAAACAAGCTGCAGTTCTTGAGTAGAATTTTCAGAACGTTTTTCTATCTGGGGTATCTCTATTCCTTCTAATTCTCTTATTTAAAAAATGCGGAGTACTAACTTCACTTAGCAGATGTGGCTGCTGACCTGGAAAGTTTCATCAGCAGTATAGAAGAGGGAGAACAAGATTCTGGGTCCTGAGACTGCAAGGGGGTCAAGTGAGATAAGGCCAGGCATTGGCATCTGAGTCAAGACAAAACATTTTCTCCCACATGTACTAAGGATTAGGAAAGCTGAACTCTAACATTGATCTCCAATGATTACCTATGTCTTCCTGAGCAAATAACTTCATTTCTCTAGGTCTCAGTTTCCTCATCTGTGAAATGAGAGAGTCATTTAGACATACTCAGCAATTCCTTGAAGCCCTAACATGCTATGGCTTTATCCAGCCCAGAGTTGGAATAAAAATTTTTAACAAGCTCAGCCTTAAAGACAAAGAATTAGAGTTTGTGGTCACCTATATGAGTATCAGACATCTCACTACCCTCATCACATACACATCACACATAGGAGTGTGTGTGTGTGTGTGTGTGTGAAATATTCCTCTGTCCATTTAAAAACTTCTGGATGAAATGATATACCACAGAGTAAATAAATTTATAAATCCTCTTTATAGCTCTTCTCATTTGGTTATTGTCTTAGATACATTACACTGAAACTATTAGTTTATACATCTGTCTCTACCATTAAACAATAATCTTCCTGAGAGAAGGGCCTGAATCTTATTCATCACTGAATCCCCATGGCCTACCACTTAAGTGCCTGGCAGAAAGCAGGTGTTCAATAAATATTTGTTGGATAGATGCATGGCTGACTAGCTGGCCTCTCCCCCGTGCTAGGATATCAGAACCCACATAAGCAGTAGACTGGAAGGTCCCAGGAAGGGGAGGAGCCTTAAAGCAAACAAACAAAGAACATTACCTGCATCTCCTACCCATGGTGGACAGTATTGTCCACAAAGCATCTACCCCAGGTTTTTTTCATAGCTTGAAGCCTTTATCATGTTTTATTTTGGGAGAAAATTGGGTGTGCTTTATCAGAGGTTTGTCTTTGTAGAACATTATTTATCTGTCTAAAGCACCATTAAATTGTTAATTGAAGTAAAAGAGACTTAATTTGTAACTGGGACTTGATGAAGTGGTAATTAGAAACAAATGTTGTATTGCAATGGAATGCTTTTCCTTATTATTAGCATGCCTATTCATTCTTTTTAAAATTACTCTGTTCAGTTGAATTTCAGTAGATGAACTTCAGGTATTTTTCCACTGAAAAATGACAGTGAAGAAAATTGCCAAGCAATGTGACAGTAAGTAAAGAAATGAGTATTTGGTTGGGCTACTTTTCATGATTCTTCTTGCTATTCTTTTACGAATTAATCCAACTTGTGAGGAAGAAAATATGCTGAGTTATACTCCACTCTACCTGAAAAAAAATTACTCTACAGACACAATGTCATCAAGGGCTGGATTAAGCTTGATTTGTAACAGGATACTCTTTGACACTCACAGGTTAAAAAAAAATCCATTAGAGGGCCCTTAATTTATAGCATCTTTAAGAGAAAGCACTGATACCAAACTAACAATAAATTAACAATACTCCACTCAGATAGGAGACCTTGTATTTATCTGAATTCCTTTCATCTCTGTGAACCAAGATGTAAGATGTTTTCTTTCTTTTTAGGCTGACCTGGGGCTGCTGTCAAGAGACATGGGATCCTTTCCACATCCTTCTCAGGCAAGTCATTCAAATCACAACTATAGATCCTTGTAGTACAGGATCTGTTTTATTATACTCTGATACATCATCTATAAAATATATACTCAAATAAATGAGTTATAGTCAGCCGAGTTACATCATTTAGGTGGACATACTTTAACTAGTAAGTCAGATTTCCTTCCTTCCAAACCAATTTTATATTTCTGTTAAATCTGGTCCCTGGGAAAGTTGGGTTCCTTACTAACTGGTCTGTGGGTGCAAACAGATCAAGTCTAAACTACTCCCTCTCAGCCATTGGACCCCTTTTTCTTGTTATTTAGATGTCTACAAATCTCTTCCTTTATGCCTCTAGGCTCAATGCACCTCTTCCCCAATCATCTTCATCACTTCTCTGTTCTTCACTCTGCAATTGGTTTTTAAATATCTCTTACTGTCTGTTTCTTAGGAAATGACATCTTTCTCTGGCTCTACCAACCAGACTCTAGAGTATATTTCTCTTAGTCAGTTTCTGCCTTATTCTTACCATATAATGAGATATGAATAGTGAAAAAATTCCAAAACCCTTATCATGGGGCTGGGCTTTTTAAAATATCAACCAGCTTTAGCAGAATATGAATAGAGCTGCATCCAGAAGACTTGCATGTAGCTCTTGAGTTCTTTTATCCAGGTCACCATTTTTGGATGGTGTCTCAAAAGAGTTGAGAAATCCTGGACAGAGTTTCCTGGGGAATTTAGACCCCCTGGGAAAGTTTATTATAATCAGTTAATAATCTATCACAGGATAGTTTATGACATTAACATTTATTCATTCACCCCTCATCAGCCACCTCAGGCTTCAAAACAAAACAAAAGCCAACCAACTACTAGGCAAAGTTTCCCCGGACAGTATAGCAACGTTCTGTCTCCCAAGTCTTACTTTCATGGGATGGAAAGTGTTATTGTAATGCTAAGAAGGACACACTTTTCTGGGGGCAGACCCAAGGAAGCAAGTGATGGAAGAACACAGTGGTGTGGCTTCGGGAATTCAGAATTTTCCAAGATTCCTCATTTGCTTTCCTGCTTACCTACTACTCGGAAGTTTAGGGTCTTCCCTGGAGAGTAGAGGAGATTAAGGGCCATATCAATGTTATCCCCTGATTTAGATACAGGGAATGAGCCACCAGACCTCTGGGCTCAAGGTCACTCACCAATTTATATCACTGTGAGTTGGTCCTTGGATATTAGAACAATACCAAAGGAAATGTCACTTATTCAGTAGAACAAGACAAAGTGGAATAAAGAAGAGAGTAAATTACACTGTTGGAAAGAAGCAGGCAGGATGGCTCTCTAACCTTGATGGCTGGGATCCATCTTAGGTCTAAAATGGGAAGGATTCCTCTTCCTCTAGGGAAAACCAAGAGTAAAGCAAATCATTTGGTCTCCCTTCAGCTCCCTCCATTCTTTGCATACTTAAAGTGTTTATCTGGTCTTGCGTCTGAATTCCACAGGTGATCAGATTCACCTGGGTGACTTCCACTTTGATAGCTATCAAAGCTATCTCCCTTAATGTAAATCAGCAGTCTCAAAGCCATAAGTACTGTCAAAAAAAAAAAAAAATCAGAATAGACATAACCAAATAATACAGTGAGACTTTCTCAAGAAAATTTAATATCTAAGTCAAATCAAAGTCACCCAACAAAAAGAACAAGAATTTATTTTGTTGGGCTTCCCTGGTGGTGCAGTGGTTGGGGGTCCGCCTGCTGATGCAGGGGGCGCGGGTTCGTGCCCCGGTCTGGGAGGATCCCGCGTGCCGCGGAGCGGCTGGGCCCGTGGGCCGTGGCCGCTGGGCCTGCGCGTCCGGAGCCTGTGCTCCACAACGGGAGAGGCCACAGCAGTGAGGGGCCCGCGTACCGGAAAAAAAAAATAATAATAATAATAATTTATTTTGTTGTAGCCACTTACCTCCAAATAGATTTCAATTATGTTGATTACCGAGGGTGTTTGGCAAAGAAAAACAGCCCGGGACTTGTAGTTATAAGTCCTAGGTTTTTGTTCTGGGTTGGTTACTAATAAGTTTTGTGACCATAAGCAAATCATTTAACCTGCCTTTCCTCTCTGTTTTCTTATCCATAAAATACGGATAATAATGCATGTCCTACACCTATTTGTTCCACATACAGCTCATAACACAGAATATATAAACTAAATAAAAAATGAGATGTACCATAGCAAAATCATCCTAATCCAGCCCCCTTCCCTGTTCTTTTATATACAGGGTAAAGTCACAAAGTGTTTAGATAACTAACCTGATACTGTGAAAATCTTTCTAAAAGGCTGTCTCATTTAAGAAGAAGCCAAAATTAAAAGACAAATAAAAAGCCCTTTCTCTCAGGCATCACTTTCCTCAGAAGTGAGATAAACCTGGGACCCTGACACTGGCTGATGTGGCTGTGGGATTATTTGTGGGGAGAGTGGGATGGTCACACAGGAAATGAAGAGGACGACTACGATTTTAGCCATTTGCAGAGTCAGTTCCTCCTTTGGGGTCAATGGTGGGAGCAGCAGGGAATGAAATCTGAGATGAGTGCCTGGGACCTTGCACCTGGAAAGGGCTGTCTAACCTGCCACTGTTCTTTTGTGTGTTACACATCCACTCTCACCGGAAAGATTAAAAAGTATTTATGTCCTTTCTCTTTACTATGTGCCAGAGGAAATGCCTGAATGCTCTCAATTTCTAAAAGGCTAAACAAAAGTAAAGGCAGAAAGACAGGCTTGAGGTAGCACTGCTTTCCTTTTCCTCACTGACAAAGGCCGTAGGTGCTCCAATTTCTGAGCACCAAACTACAAACATCCTTGCTATGTTTAGCCAAGGACAGGTATGATTCGCTAAATGACTGGACTGCATCTAGGTATCTGTTTTAGGATTCAGCCAAAGTTGCAAAGTTTTCCCTTTTAGATTAAGAAAGTTGAATGAACTTGCTTGTTATGTCAATAGTAAGGATTAGGTCAGGATTTGAATGCAGTTCTGTCCAACTGGCAAAGCCAGTACATGTTTCACCTCTCCACACTGAGGCAATAGCTGTGATTCACATACCCAGCACTTATTTCAGCCTGAAAGGGTTTGAAGTGATTTACAAATGGCAGAAGGAGTATCTCATTTCCGATTGCATGCATGAGCTTTCTTCTCCCTCACAGATTGTGAAGCCCTTACTGTCCCCATTACTGACACTCATGCAACATATGGGTTCACTTGGCTTTCACAGATGGCGCTCTGTCTGCATTTGTTGAATGGTAAGTGGAAGTTCGTCATGGGGACTCTTGGAAAGTAAGCACAGAAAATATCAAACAGGAAAATGTCCTCTGAAAAAGTTAAGCAATTTACAGAGTATGAAGGTGCTTTCTTAGGAACTTCGGGGTCTTAAAGAAGTTTTTAATACTTTTATTCAACAAACATGTAGCCCTTAGCGTGGGCTGATACTGTCAGTGTTTTACAATGGTCAGCCTTTTCAGTTCTTACGAGAACCTGTGACGTAGATGCTATCATTTTTCCTATTTGGCAGATGAGGGAGTTGAGGCACACAGAGGGTACGTGATTTCTGTCCAAAGTCACAAATCTAATTAGTGAAAAATCTAGGATTCAAACCCAGGTTCCTGCTCCAGAATCCATGCTCCTGAGCCTTCTGCTTTGCTGCTTCTAGGGGACAGTTGGAATAGACATGATATAAACAAAGATTCAGTAAGGCGCCTAAGCATTATGAACCTGAATGTTTTCCCCTTGAATCTTTAGCTTTTTATTAGCTAAGATGTAAAAATATCTTCAAAGCATTAAAATCTGGCATTTGACATATTCCTATTTAAAAAGAAATTGAAACAATTTTCAATTAGTGAGGATACGCGGGAGGACTCTGCCCTCCACGTGTACTCGTTGGGACCAACCTTGCCTGGTCTGTGCACTGGGGACTGGAGACAGTCCGCTAGCCACTAGGGGTCCAGAAGGAGCACAGCCTTGGGACACGATGCGTCCTCAGGGCTGAATGAATAAACGCCACACCTTATCCTTCCATCCCACAACGGGGGCTTGATTCAAGTACTGGGGGAAGGCAGCTTAGTCCTGCTCCTAGTGGTCCCCGAGATCCACCCTTCAGTCTCTCATGGGCCTTTCAACTTCAACTCTGCTTCACTGTGCCCTTTCCTTCATGTGGCTTTTACCAGTTCCACCTTCCGGTTTCACGCCTTTATTGTCTTCTACTTTCTAATCATTTAGTTAACATATATCTTATTTAACTTATATCTATTGGGCAACTACCATGAACAGGCACTCCACTTACAGTTTCTTTTTTTTTTTTTGCAGTACGCGGGCCTCTCACTGTCGTGACCTCTCCCGTTGCAGAGCACAGGCTCCGGACGCGCAGGCCCAGCGGCCATGGCTCACGGGCCCAGCCGCTCCACGGCATGTGGGATCTTTCCAGACCGGGGCACGAACCCGTGTCCCCTGCATCGGCAGGCGGACTCTCAACCACTGCGCCACCAGGGAAGCCCTACAGTTTCATTTTAACCGTCATAGAATTATAGAAAACTCCTAAGTCATCTCAGTTTATGTCATGTGCAAACAACTGTGTCAACCAAATATTCCATGAACGTTTATAAGAGGATTCATTAGTCTCCTATGGCTGCTATAACACATTGCCACCCACTTGGTGGCTTAAAACAACACCTCATCACCTCTCTTTCTCTTCTAGTCAAAACTCCCTCAGCCTCTCTCGTTTAAGGACACTTAGGATTATGCTTAAGGCCCCTCTGGATAATCCAGGATAATTTATCCATCTCAAGATCCTTAATCTCATCTGCAAAGTTCCTTTGGTCATATAAAGGCTCATTCACAGGTTCCAGGATGCAGATATCTTTGGGGCCATTATTCAGCCTACCATAGATGCCCAAATAGACTTATTTACCTTTCTGAGAGTAAGATATCCATTTTCATGCTCAGTGGACAAACCAAAACCACAAAATGTCAACTGACGTTAAATCTACACACCCAAAAGATAAAGTCAATAACGTGTTTCCTCTTTTTAGTAAAACAGGCAGTCTGAATGCAGTTAAGCACCATCACAGTTGAATTATGTAAGGAGCCATTTTTTTCTTCAGTACCATTCCAAAGAAAATTACAATATGACCGTGTGACCACAATTCTCTACTTTTAACATAAATTTTGGAATTATCCGAGCCATTATGAAACTTCAAACTTTCCTTCTGAAAAAAAAAAAAAGTCTCTTGACCTTTTGGTTATTTCTTAGAAAAGTATGGTGGTTTTAGACATGTCCATAAATTTTAACGTTCCTCCCAGTAAGAGAAAACTTTTCTTCCTTTTTCTCTCCTAGAACCTCGGTGGACCTTTGTGACTACATCAACTAATGAAATACAGCAGAAGTGACATTCCATGACCTCCAAGGCTAGGTAAGAAAAAGCCATGCAGATTCTGCCAGTTTTTCCTGCGAGGCTCACTTTCAAGCCCTAAGCAGCCATTTTAAGAGTGTAACTAACTGAAGTGCCATGCTTGAGGGATCCCGTGGAAAGATCACCACACTGAAATGGAAAGAGATGCCTGAGGAGCGGCGGCATTCCCGCCCCAGCTGGCAAGTCCCCACCCCGAGCCCCAAGTCTTCACATCTTGTCTTCTAGATGTGGTCTCAGACATTCTGGGCCAGGAGTCTACTAACTAGGACCTGCAGACCAAGTCCAGCCCACACCTGTATTTTTTTTAAGGAAAGTTTTATTGGCGCGCAGCCACCCTCTTTCTTTTATGTATTGTCTGTGGCTGTTTTCCTGCTCTAGTGGCTGAGTTGAGTTGTTGTGACAGTGACTACTGGATTTGCAAAGCCTAGAATATTTACTATTTGGCTCTTTACAGAAAACGTTTGCCAATCCCTGTTGTATAGACAAACTTTCCTGAATGTACTCTATCCAAGTTGACAGCCCACAAAGTCTTTGAGCATAATAAATGCTTGTTTTATACCAGCAAGATTTGAAGTGGTTTGTTACGCAGCCTCAGATAGCTGATACAGAGTTAGGGTGATATCACTAAGACATTTCTTGGAGTGTCGTTTCTGTTTTAAAAATTATATATAAGCTCATGTAATAGTACTGATTTTGGGGAAAAAAATGTCCCTTCAGCTAGTACCTTATCTTGGCTCCCTTCACTGCAAACTCCTCTGAAGGGTGCATCTACCATTCTGCTCAGTTCATTCCAACCCGGTTACTGGTTTTTATCCTTACCACTCTTCCACAGTGGCTATTATCAAGATCATAAAGAATATCTTGCCAAAAGCAAGGTGTTCAATTTGCTCAACCTCTTAGAGTTCTTGTTCCTGTTTTTTTTCTTTTTTCTTTTTTTAAAATCTTGGTTGAACTCCCTTTCCTTTCTTCCCAACGTTTCCAGGATCCCCTCACATCCATCCAGTGTTTTACCTGACATGACTTGGCATGTTTTACCATCCCCCTTTGACTCTTCCTCTTCCAGTAGACTTCCAGTTGTTTCAATTCTCCAGGGCTTGCTCCTGGATCCTCATCTCTTCCTTATCTACTTTTATTATCTACTATTTCTGTGGGTGACTTCATCCAGCTCTGTGGCTCCAGACTTGAACATCTTAGTGTCTACTGAAATTTCCATTGGGGTATCTAAGAAGTATGAAACTTAACATGGCCCAAATATAACTACTGAATTTTGCTATAGAACCTGCCCCTCTCAGAGTCTTCCTCATCATATGAAATGGCATCACCACCTACTCAACTTCTCAGGTCAAAATTTTCATCATCTTTGATTTCTCTCTCATATACATTTCACACGTAATCCATCAGTAAGTCTCATGGCACTATTTAAAAAATATATCCCAACACTTATCATATTATCTTCAAGCCACCATCATTTCCCACCTTCAGCTAGTATTAAATTTGTGTTATTTCCTTATGTATGCAATACTTATCTTCATCACTACAAGTTCCTCAAGAGTCTAGAAGAATGCTTGGAGCACAAAATATCCTTATTAAATATCTTTAGATGAACGGACTGAATTTTAAAAGGAATTCAACTAAAAAATTTCCTGAGAAGATAAAAATAAATGAATGAAGGACAATGTCCAAAGATGCTATTAATTCTGCAAGAGGCAAAGAGGGAGATTTTGAGGCCTTGGTTACAACATTCCACTTCTTGAATTAAATGATGATTATTATGGTAGTTTACTTCAAAATTACTATTTACTTTTACAAACATATCTTATAGCCTTCTGTATTACAATGTTTTATAAAATGAAAGGATGTGTGCAGGAGTCGGAAAACTAAGGCTATGGCCCCAATGTAATCTGCAGCCTGCTTTTGTACAGTCCTTCAGCTAAGGAGAGTTTTTACATTTTAAAAGGTTATTAGAAAGAAAAGGAGGTGACAGAGACAGCACGTAGCCTACAAAGCCTAAAATATTTACTATTTGGTCCTTTACAGAAAATGTTTGCCACTTATTTGAAAATATAGGCATCAAGTAGATGTTTTATTGTATTAGAAACTATTTCAAAAATCCCACTGTTTTAAGATGGGGATTTGATGAAGAAGGTGATGAATAAGCAAGTGGCCTGAAGCCCTACAGACCTGATAAAGACAATTCATAAAAAACCCATAAATAATACAAGTGCTTCTAATTGACACAACCAAGGTCAATTAAATTTAATGCCAAAGATATTAAGGAGAGACATAATTGTTGAATATTAAAGATGTGAAAGAAGAAACATTTATGATTCAGTGTTCATTTAATATAAAATTTATGGCATACATTTTAGAATAGAGTAATTTTCCATTTCCTAAGGGGTTTACAGATTTTTAACTTTTTCTTCAGCTTATAGATACAATTTCATATCTTAAGCTTAAATTCCTATTCCATCTCTCCAAATTGAAGACCAATTAAAATATTAAGCATTAAAAATATTAAATTGATTATATGAGAGAAAAACTGTCAAGTAAAATATTAATGGAAAGTGGATTAAAATGTTTGGGGCTGTATTAAATATTTACTAGGCATCACTTTCAATAAATTAGCAGGATTGCCAAAGTTTTTATTGCTGCTGCTATTAAAAGTGAACACCAAAATAGCTATTGCATTGGATGCAGATAAATTAACTTTTCAAATGAACATTATTCCTTTTAATGAGTTTTATGTTGCCATCTTGGATATCTACATTAAATACTAACTTTTAGATAATTCAATGTGCATAGCATGCTGGCTTAAGAATTTGGATAAATTGTGGGCTAGAGTTATATTTTTAAGATGCTTTTGGCTGTTATTTTAAGCCTATAGCATCTTTTCTTTCAAGTTAAATGAACAAATGTAAAAAATATATTTATGTGCTTTTTGTACTAGTAAGCTACATTCTTTTTGCATCCATTAATTTTATGTGTGGTAACAGCAGGCTATTTGGGTGGGGGAGAGTCCCTCTAACCACCACAAATTGTATGCAGCAGTGGCACAGGTGGAACTGTCAGTCATGGTTCCCTGCTCTCTCCTGACAATAGATGAGTTCTTGACCTGAGCCAGACAAGGGAGAGGGACCCTTATCTCTTGAGCAGAATGACTTACAGATGGAGAAGCAGTCGGCACCCAGGAGAGTCAGCCTGCTGAACAGGATACCTGAGCTCTTCTGCTTCTTGGTCCCTTCTGATCTGTTTCATCCACTTTCTTTTATTCAGTGAGCTACCCCATACCCTGCCAATCAATTTCAATTTTTTTGCCCCTCCCAACACAAACATCTGGTTTTGTCTTAGGTGAACCAGAGTCATTTTCTTTTATTTGCTGTACTCCATCTGAACACCTTCATTTAGGTTCACATGACATAGAACTAAAGCCTGAGAAATATAATGTTATGAACTGCATTTAAAAGATAAAAGCTATTAAAAATTGGCACAAATGATTTCACGGCATTTCACTACATATATTTGCCAGGTTTGTCTCACCCAAGCTGCAAATACTTTTATACCATGAATATTCTGTGTTTGTAGAGAGAGATGTTATCCAAATGGTTTCATGTGTATTGATGTTAACCCAGTATTCTAATATGATCTATGTGGCTGGAAAAAAGTCCTCTCCAGTCCTGTGATATTTGCTTGAACTGTGTGAATTCTCTTAGCTAATATGGATTCAGACAAACACTAAAATAAGAGTAAACACTAAGGAAACACATCTACTTTACCATAACAAGTGAAAACCATGTAGTTTGTGAATAGCACTTTCTTGTAATACCCAGTATGCCCAAATAAAATTTTTTTCTCTAATTTTCCACTGACCTTTTTGTTTCTAAACTATAAAGTTGAGTTGTAGAAGGGGCTAAAAGATTTGGAAAAATGATCATCTGTAAGAAATAACCACAGTTTCTATTTAGAATGCTTATTATTATTAACATCATCTAAATCAGCCCTCACAACAGCCCAAAGTACAGGCATTATCTCTTACTTGGTGAAAAAACTGAAGCTCAAAGAGGAAAAACTGACTTGCCTGAGGTCACCCCTTATTTATGAAGGAACAGAGCTGAAAGTTGAACCGAGGTATATCTGTCAGCAAAGCCCATGCTTTTACCCACTACACTATTTAATTTCTATAACAGATTCTATACTCTGTTCATCAGTCCATGAAAAAATATCTACAGGGTGCAAGAAAAAATTGGATACAATTTGTCACACAAAATGGCTTTTTAAAACCAACTCAGATAAGAGACTTGGGTAGGTTGTATTTGAAGAAAATAAAATGATGGTATATATATATCACAAATTCCAATATCTGCTTTCCTATGCTGATTTGAACCCTAGAACTCTTAAGTTCAATGTATAATACTTAAGGCTACTAAAGAGACAAGTTCAGAGTTCCCTTTAACAGTAAAATTTGAAAAACACAAATTAAAAAACTTTAAGCATTAAAATGTGAGAGAAAAGTACCATAATTTTATCTAGTGCTATCACAAACCCTGATGTGAAAAATGGGCATGAGGGACTTCCCGGTTGGTCTAGCGGTAAAGAATCCACCTTCCCCAGGGGGAAAAAAAAAATGCATATATAATGCAGAGAATTTTTTTAATATAAAGGATATACCAGTTCTCCCTCTAAGCCATTCTCCTCCAGTAGGCAAAAGTTCTTTTTTTCCCTAGTGTTCCAGTTGTGCCTGAATATATTTTCTCGTGCTCTGTCAAATGCATCTTTCTTATCTGCCACATACACCCATTGACCTCACTCATATATATTTCTCCTGTATTTCCTAAAGGGGATCCCTAGATCAAACACTCACACAGCACGATTAATTTGGGGGGGGGCGGGAATTCTACTATATAAATATTATATCAGTAAAGAATGAAATTGGAAACATTTCATTTTTTAAGCCGAGTACATGCATCCGTTTCTGAGAGTGAAACTTTGTGAAAATCTCCAAA